CACTGTCAAGCTCTTCACATTGCCTGAACCCCTGAAAAGAACAACTTGTCATTCCTGCTGGGTATCCAGTGTTCTCTCTCTGAATTATATTGGTGTATAATTCTGGATTCACAGTAGAACAACATCTCAGTCTTCAATGAATGTCATTTCTACACTACTCTCTACTGTCACGGCTGGCGCTTTCATTTTATTGAGGCTGTAATTATCTTCCAGAAACCTGTAACTGTTAGAGAGTGAGTGTAAGGCTTTAATTTAATCTTGTCTTATGACATCTGAACCCTTTAATTAAATTACTGCCTTATTACACACTGCCAGCCATGGGAGTTCTATATAATACGGTTTCAACATTTTTTAGAAACAGGAAGAGTAATCAAATACCCTAAAATGAGCATATTTCAATATTTTAATAAATAACTTTGATGTTCATACTTAGTGTGGGTAGGTCTACTAATTATACCACTTGGCTAGTATCTAGTGTTTTTATTCAAAATGATATACTTTAAAGGGGGTTGTATCTTCTTGACTTACAGAGTGACTTTACAGAGAGGTAGGTAAGATGTTCAATGGGTTAGAGAACGTGAACCCAGGTTTGAATGGTTAGGCAATATATTCTCAAGAAGTGGTTTCTTCCTTCCAGATCTGATTGCCATCATTTTTGTTCTCTCATGAACAGAGGTAAGTATTATCATCAATTCTATCCCCAAGAGGGACGCGTTCGCCCACAAATATACAGTCAATTCACTTTGCAGTGTGTTCTGTGAAGCGCTTTGGGACGTCTTCCTGACGTGAAAAGCGCTATATCAAATGCAAGAATTATTATTATTATTAACCTACTGCATTTTGTTTGAATGATGTGTTTTGCAGGGTAGATGCACTGAGAAGGAATGAAACTCTAACTCTAAGCTCTCTCCAGCCCAGGAATTGTTTTCACAAGATCGCAAGATTGGTTTGAATCAAAAAGGCCCTTCAGTCCATTTGATTTCATCCTTCCAGAATACCCATCCTACCATTTCATCACAGCATCAGATTGTTTTTTAAATAGTTTAAATTACCCTTCCTGGCAACCAGTTTTTATTAATTACCCACTGGGTAAAGATATGAGATAGATAGTCCATTTTGTTTTGGGTGTACTTTTTCAATCTCATATAAAATTTTATATTCCTCTATAAGGTCCTCTCCAAAATGTCACCCTTCAAGATTGAAGAACTCTTGTTTGCCTAATTGTTGCTTTTAGTTTATTCCTCTAACATTAGGGATCATCCTTATTGCTCTCCTCTGCACAGCCTCTTATGTTGCAGTGACCAGAATTGTATGTAGTACTTTTGGTGCAACCTTTTGGTGTCCAGATCACTCTTATAGTTGCAGTGTGATATTTGGGGATCTGAACTCAACAACAGCAAAAACAACAGCAATAAGATTACATTTGTGTCACGTCTTTCTACTTGGGAGGATATCCCAAGGCACTGGACAATCAGTGTTTTGGACCCGAGCTGGGGGTTGGGGTTGGGTTGGGAGTGGAGGGAAAGTGGGGGAAGCAGGGACTGGCTTAGTTAGGTGGAGTGTGCATCCTTAGATGTTGCTGCTGTCAGCGCCTGAGGTGTGGAGGCGCTGACGGGAGCCAATCAGGAGAGCCTCGGTCTTGTTGACGTTCAACTGAAGAAAGTTACCTCTCATCCAGGACTTGATGTCTGACAGACAGATCAACACTTCTAGATCTCTATCAGCTAACTGCCTAGGCAAGTTGTATCCTATTCATGGAATACATGTTTCCTATTCTTGCGTTCTGTATATTGTACGCTGCATTTATAAGTGTCAAATTTCAGTTGTCAATTATCAGCCTGTGTGCATTATCCTATCAACCTCTCTTTGCTGAGCTTGCCTGACTCCTTCGATTCCACAGTACTCTCATCCCCCCAACATGCTGCATTCTGCAAATTTAACTGCACTGGGTCTATCTATTAATCATCTCAGACTTTTGAGGAGAGGCAATTGTGTGTCCTCTCCCACACTAAACGTCATGACCCCATCTCCCCCATTCTCACCCGACTCCATTGGTTCCCTATCCTTCAGAGGATCCAGTTAAAGTTCCTGGTGCTCACCTACAAAGCCCTCCATGGCCTCCCCCCACCCTACCTCTGCGACCTCCTAACCCCTACCAACCCGCCCGCTCCATCCGCTCAGCCGGCTCTGGCCTGCTCCACGTCCCCCAACCCACCCGCCCCACCACTGGTGGGAGAGTCTTCAGCTACTCTGCCCCCAACCTCTGGAATTTCATCTCCCAATCACTCCGCCTCGTCCCCTCCTTAGCCGCCTTCAAGTCCCGCCTCAAGACCCTCCTCTTTGACCATGCCATCGGTCACCTCCCCTTCTCCCCCCTCCCTTCTCCCTCCCTGACCCCAGCTCGGGTCTGAAATGCTGCACACTGTCCAGCATCTTGGGACGTCCTCCTGACGTGAAAGGTGCTATACAAATGTAATCTTGTTGTTGTTGTCTGCCATCAAATGGCTGTGGTGGAGCAGGCTCAATGGGCCAAATGTTTTTCTTTGGTTCCTAAATTCCTATCTATTTCCTCTGTATTCCTATAAGAATATTGCGCCCCCTTGATAGTAGAAAGGGATAGCAGGTTTTGCAAAAAGTCTTTTGGAGTGAGGCTCCTCTCTGTGAGGAATTGAGGGCCACCTCAAGCTAATAAAATTACGCATTACTAGGAGTGCTTTTTGGGGTTAAATCTATAGCTTACTTTGAAACACCTCACGTTGAAAATTCAAACATTGCTCCACATGTTCAAACAGGTCTACAATTTATTTCATTATTTTCCACCATAAATCTTACTTCTAATGATTTCCTGAAGCTGACATCTTTGGCACTGCTGGTAATCCGACTTCACTAAAGAATTCTTTCATATCAGATTCATGGTAGCTATCTCTCTCTTCATCTCCTCACTGGTTGTTTTTGAAGTGCTGTTTTCTCACTGCTACACATGCCTCCCAGCTACATTTTTCATTTCAATTTCTTATGCTAACACTACAGACTTACAAATAAACAAAGAACAGATGAAGAGTGAAGAATCAGGTGACCCAGTTCTCTGATATCACCAGATTGGTTTGGATGAAGAAGGTCTTTTGGCCCATTTGATCTTATCCCTCCAGAATACCCATCCTCTTGTCTTTCTAAAACAGGATCCAGCTGTTTTTCAGTGTTCTGGCTTCAACCACCCTTCCTGGTAACCTATTCCATTTGTTAATTACTCTCTGAGTAAAGAAATACTTCCTGGTGCCTGTCTTGAAATTGCTCATCACAATTCTAAACCTATGTCCTCTTGTTCTACTGTGTTGGTGCATCCTAATGTATTGTTCTAGGCTTACTTTTTCAATCCCATTTAAATTGTTACACACCTCGAATAAGGTCCTCTCTGGGATGCCTCCTTTCAAGACTGAAGAAGAGTTTTAATCATTGCTCATTGTTGTAGCAGGAAGAGGCACAGAACAGAGGCCTTAAGTATCCCCAGCAAGAGTGTGGAAGAATCAGAGGTGAATGGCATGGCAGAGGAGCACAGAAATATACATTTAGCTGATTTCAAAATTAAAAAAAGTTACAAAAAATAATCAAATAATCCTACCCTATATTTGTCAAAAAGTTGGTAGCACACTTTCCTCTAGATCAGAAATTGTGGGTTTAAGTCCCACATTGAGACTTAAACTCTCATTCTAGGCTGACACTCCAATGCAGTGCCTGGAAAGGGTTGTATTGTCAGAGGTGCCATCCTTCAGGTTACAGGTTAATTTAAGGTCCCATGGCACAGAAAGGAGTTTCTCCTAGTGTCCTGGCCAATTGATCATTTACTTCATGGCTACTTGTGGGATATTGCTGTGCGCAAATTGAATGCTGAATTTGCGAACAAATACAGTCACTGCACTTTACAGACACTTTGTGAAGCAGCTTGAGACTTATAGATGCTGAACCAAATGCAAGAAGCATTATTATTACTATTGAATAAGTCACTGAACATCTGTCTAATTCCCTCTTAAATTTGTTGATGTAATGTGCCTTCACTATGTCCTTTGGATAGTCCATCGTACATATTCACCACTCTATATAAAGCAATTATATCTGAAGTCTGTTCACCTTTCCTTGTTTGGCTTGAGTTTGTGCTTCTCACACACACTCTAGTGGCCAGGCAAAGACTGGCAATGAGAGATATCTGGATATGGAAGCAGGTGGACCCGCTCGGCTGGGGAAGAGAATAAAACTAAAAACCTGGTGGTGAGAAACACAAGTTTTCATGAGAGAATCAATACAGATAAACACCACATCAAATCTATTCTGAAAAGTTGCATTTTTACACCTAGATCTTTCATGGATTGAATACTATATTAAAAGATGCAGCTGGCATGCAGTGTTCATCAACCACCTACCTGTTATACCTAGGAAAGGTATTACAAAGTTCTGAAACCCAAACACTTGTGTTATGAAACCACTGTGAACTGTGGTTGAACTAATTTACATGTTCAGATTTACATTCAGGAATATTTACATATTCGCAGTCATTTGCAGTAGAATGTTGCATTCTTGTTTATCTGTCATTCTCCAGTTGACTTTATTTTTTCTGCTCTCTTAAGTCATTTTCAGTTAAGGCGCCTTTTCTGGTCTTTTCTGGTCAAGATATGTACAGCCTCCTTCAAAATACTATTTTTGTATGGGAACTCAGCCAAATTGTAAAATGGAAAGATTTCCACAGCACAAGGAGGCTCTGGACACCACAGAACTGCTCTTTGCTTGAAGCGTCTGTGCCAACAAAAAGAGGACATAAACGTCAAACCACTTTTTTTCTCCTAATCTCTTTTAATGCATGTGGAGGATGGAAGGCAGCGTGGGGGGATATCCAGCTGCTGTTTAAGTAGCTTATCTATCATAAGTGTTCTTGAGCAGGATTTGAATTAGAGCTAATTGCGTCAGTGCTCTTGATGTTTATACAGCAGCTGATCCACTGGCTTAGGAATGGCTGGAGAGGGGAGGGAGGGTTTGTAACAAGTCTAAGTGTATATAAAGGCTCTAATATTCAGCACTTCAAGAGCATGTGAAGAGTGACAACAGCAAAGAACAGGTAGACATCCCAGTGGACCACAGACAGCTGTAACGACCAACCCAACAACTGAATGGGATGAAGGTGGGAATTAATGCTACAATACCTTTTGTTTTATAGTATGGATTGTCTGGCAGAATGTGTATTTGTTTCATTGAATGGTACAATCTTAACAATTGTGCCTTTAGTGATGGGCTTGCCATAAAGAGATGCCTAAAAAGTTAAAAGCAAAATATCATCAATGTTAATTTTTGTACTGTTTAATTGTTTTAACTTAAATAAAAACTGCTAATTTTACTGAAATGAAACTGGGAAATGTCGGAAACACAGGTTGATCACTATTGAAAAAAGAAGAGACAATGAGAGGACCTGGGTTCGATTCCTGGGCAGAATGAAATCATAGGCAAGTTTCCTTACTCCACATGCCTCTGTTTACATAGCAGTAAATAGGAACCCAGTTGTTAGTCGATTGATTGATTGTTTTCCAGGGGTAATAATCCCTTAAAAAAAATATAAATTAAATAATAATAATTTTGTGGGACATTGCTGTGCACAACTGGCTGCTGTGTTTTGCCCACAAAATATACAGTCAATTCATTTTACAGTATATTTGATTCTCGGTTTGTTGGTGTGTGAATGCACACAAAGGGGCTGTTCCAGGATGGCTCTTAAAAGGGGGTCGTTGTTGAATCAAGGTGGTTGCTTGAATAGGTTTGACTGTTTTAAGAAAGAAGTCCAGAACCAGACAGAATTTCAAGCACCAGGGAGAAGTTCCACCTAGGTTTAGTCTTACACGATTTCTCAGCATTTCAGAGGATGCAAACTTTAGCAAATTCCTAATGTGAAATCGATTTTCCACTGATTTCATTTCAAGACTTCAGCCCTTTTATTTCTCAAATTCTAGCCACCCTATCCAGAATATTATGAAAATAGTGTAAATCCTAGACCAATGTGGAATTCCTCCTCCTGATCCTGATCGATTGTTAAAAGTGGATTTTTACAGAAAGAAGCGCATTTGGCTTGCTTGAAATACAGTTGATTTTTTTTGCTGAGGTGTTATAGCAGATGCAGCCAGTGAAAGGAGTTGCTGAGGCTTGTTCCCCCTCAGCCACCTCAAGAACCAAATAATGTCTCGGTCGTGTGTTTAAGCTGGTTAAACCACAGCTATACCCCAACACATACTCTTGGCTTGACTCTCATTAGGCTACACACAGGCTACAAACTGCAATAGATTCAGCCTGTTAAAAATTAGATTAGCTGATCCGGAGAGCTCATTAGATAACAAGATTGGTCTGGATGAAGAAGGCCTTTCGGCCCAGGTGATCTCTAGAACACCTATCATCCGTCTGTCTGTCCCCATCACTGCATCAGGCTACTTTTTAAATGAGTCCAGGCTTCCACCACCTTTCCTGGCCACCTGTTCCAGTCATTGATTAACTTCTGTATAAAGAAAAACTTCCTGGTATCTACCCTGAAATTGTCCTTTGCAACTTTAAACTTATGTCCTCTTGTTCTACTTTCTGTTTGAATCCTACAATATTGTTCTGGGTTTACTTTATTGCTGCTCCATATAATATTAATAATAATCCTTGCATTTGATATAGCCCTTTACACGTCTCCTAGATGTCTACTGTAAAATTAATTCACTGTACATTTGTGGGTGAAACGCAGCAGCAGTGTCCCACAAACAGTCATGGATTGAAGTGACCAATTTATTATTGTTTTTGTTGAGGGATTATTATCAAGCGTGTGGAGTAAGGAAACTTGCCCAAGATTTTGCCCTGCCGGAATCAAACCCAGGTCTTTCGCTTGCGAGACGAGTGCTCTAACCACTGAGCTACAGGACTCATATGATCATGTTAAGAGTTAAAGACTTTCTCGTGTTATTACCCAACTGTAGTCAGTGTTGACCCATGTGTAGAAGAGGCACTTGGGTTAGGCTATGAGTTATTGTAGACCCAAGAACAATGTTTCACATTTTATGTATTGTTCAAAATTGAAGTAAAACACTGTTCTTGGGTCTATGAATGTAGGTACCATATATCATTCAATATAAATAGCTTACTTGACTTTGACTTTAAAAGGTTTATTCATTTGTCCTTATTTATTTTCATGAATTGTCTTTCTGCATTAGCCTGAATACAGGATGATTTGGTATGGGAAGTATGCTGGTTTAGCCTTGGTCATCTTCTTTGTGGCAGAACAGGGTGTGCATTCCTTCCCTGACGTGGAGGCTGCAACCCAAGGTGGGTAGTCATTAACAATTAGCAGCACGTCATTCAGAGTCAGGGTTGAATCCCAAAGAATATTTTAATATGAGAAGGCATGATGGTTAGAAAGGTGATGATTTTCATCTTGTAGCTGTAAAAACAAACTCTTCTGACCAAATCTTAACTGCTTAATCTCAGTAACTCATAATCTGGCACCTCCAGGGCACAATAAACTAGTTACATTTGGGTCTGATATATAGAGGAGGGTTGAATGGTTCCTATTGACACCTGTCCAGTAAATTGCTTTGAAACCTCTAGGGTTAATCCTTCCAATCAAAGTATCCCCTGCCCTTAGTTAGACCTTCAATTTTCTGTCCTCCTCTTCTGATAATGCCAACTCCTACTGTAAAGTAGTTTCTCAGGTGTCCACTGGCTCCTCACCCACTATACTAATCGTCATTCGTGAACCTGGACACTGAGTGTTGGGAGTGAACGGTGCTCCAGAGCCTCATCTGATCCTGCCAGTTCTCACCAATTATATTATTACAATGCTCAATGTTATTTTCTCCGAGGCTCAGCATTGTATAATGGGTGGGAAAGTGGACCTGAGTGACAGCTCACTCTAGAGACAGTCCGAGACTCTTCCCCACCCCACCATCATCCCATTCCACAATTGAAGGGGTTTGTAAGAAAGTATAGAAAAGCCCTGGCTGGGGTAATAGAGGGCAGCTGTTGCTCTACAAACAATAATCCAGCAAAGTTTCAACGCCTTCAATAGAGGCGAAGGAAAAAAGTAATTATAATGCTTGTTTTTAATACAGCGCTTATAACATCAAAACTTCGCAAAACAGTTTATGGTACTGCTAAGTGTATGTTTCTGGGCCAACACAGAAGTCAGTTTGCGCACAGCAATTCCTTACAGCCAGCAAAAGCCAGGAGGTGAATGTAAATGTGCTGAGGATGAAATCAAAATGTTAACAAAATCATCTGCAACAAAAAAAGGGTCTCAATTCAGTATTTGGAGGAATGATCCACTCTTTGTCTGCTTTCTCCTGAAGGGTGCCCAGAGTGTAGACTCAAAGAGAACAAGTATTTCTCAAGGGCAGGGGTGCCCATCTTCCAGTGTGTAGGATGCTGTTTCTCTCGTGCCTACCCAACCCCAATGAGATCCAAGAGAACTATGCTGGTCCCGAAGAACATCACTTCAGAAGCAACATGCTGTGTAGCAAAATCATTTTCCAGGGTAAGACTGATGGACCAAAATAGTAAAGTGCATCATCTTATTTTATTTGATAGTGAAAATGCCTTTTTTTGTAGTTTCACACCAAGACGTGTTCAAATTCAAGCATCATGCCAATTCCATCCTGACCGGAGTAAAGGCACACAGGCCTTGCATGTGACTAATAGCCTCACACAATGATGTGCTCATGAAACTACACTGGACTCTATCATGCTAAAAGTAGCAAAAACAATCTATCTTTGTAATAAGACTGAATGTTATAATAATCTTTATATACGATAGCATCTTATCATAGAATATTACAGCGGAGAAGGAGGCCTTTCGTGCCTTGTGCCGGTTTTTTGGAAGAGCTATACAATCAGTCCCACTCCCCCGCTCTTTCCCCATATCCTAGCAAATTTCCCTTTCGAAAGTTGTTATTGTTATCATGTTGAAATGTCCCAAAATGTTTCACAGAATTTTCTGTAAAGTAAGCAAATGCGCACATCAGGGCCCCACAAATAGTTATGAAGTAAATGACCATTTTTTTTTATCTGGGGAACATCGAGAGAAACTCTCTTCTCATTTTGAATAGTGCCATGGGATCTTTAACGAACATCGTAACAAGCAGAAAAATCCTTGGTTTAACATTTCATCAGAAGAAGGGCACCTCCGACAATGCAGCACACCACAAGCACTGTACTTGTGTCAGTAGGTGAGATTAGGAGTTCAAAGTCAAAAACAACAAGATTACATTTGTATAGCACTTTTCACGTCGGGAAGACGTCCCAAGGCACTAGCACTGTACATGTCAGTCAGTGAAATAAGGAGTTTGAAGTCCCGATACAACAACAAGATTCCATTTATTGAGCGCCTTTCACGTCGGGAGGACGTCCCAAGGCGCTGAACAGTTGGGTCAGGACCCGAGCAGGGGGGAAATAGTCAGGGGAGGGAAGGGAGGGAGCGAGGAGGGGGTAGAGAGTCGAGAAGGGAGCTGAAGGCACGGTCAAAGAGAAAGGTCTTGAGACCGGCCTTGAAGGAGGAAAGGGAGGAAGTAAAGCGAAGGCACTGGGGGATGGAGTTCCAGAGCCTCGAGGCTGAAGGCCCGGCCACCGATGGCAGGGCGGTTGGGGCGGGGGATGTGGAGCAGACCGGAGCCAGAGGAACGGAGGGTACGGGCAGGTAGGTAGGGGGATAGTAGGTCAGAGAGGTAGGAGGGAGCGAGGTCGTGAATGGCCTTGTAGGTGAGGATGAGGATCTTGAATTCGATCCTCTGGGGGATGGGAAGCCAGTGGAGGCGAGCGAGGGTGGGAGTGATGTGGTCGTGATACAAGCAGACAGAGCATGAATTTAACACTTCATCTGAAAGAAGGAGCCCCATGAAGGTAACATTTCCCCAGAGCTGCACTGCAATGCTAGTTTGGACTATCGACTTATATTCCAACATGGGAGTTAAATTCACAACCTTCTGATGCAGAGGTGAAAATGCTACCAACTGTGACAAAGTGGTAACTGCTATGAATTGAGAGCATATCATTACTCACTATTCAGTGCTAAATGGCAACTCACAGAGTTGGTATTTGGTGTAGCTGGTTCGGGGAAATGGGAAATCTTATACGAGTTCAGGAGGGTCAACTCTTGTGAGATTTGGCCTGAAGTATATTGTTGAAAACATAGAGGGTGATTTACTCTGCATTCAGTATATGTGAAATGTGGAAAAGTACTCCATTTTCCCAGCACTGGCATCAGTCTTTTTGATCAAAACAAATGTTAGCACATTATTTTTTTACAAAAAAAGTATTCTCTTTTGGGAGGCTCCAGTACTGTGAGGTGCACCGCCCACGATTTTTCTTGCTGTAGCAGACTGCTTGCACAATTTCAGGCTTGACGTGCTTCAGCTAAAAATATAATTGTTAAATACAATTTGTTTCGAGAAGACTGATATGCCTGGGGCTACAAATTTAAAATGGAACCTTGACAGCAAAAGCAAATGGGGGAAAAATTCTGTTGTATTTGTTTCAAAGCAAATATTTTTCCTTACTCTGCACCCTTCTTATGGGAAGAGGGGATTATTTTCTGCCCGTCACTATAAGCTTAATGCCTACATATGCATAATGCTTCACTTGTCAGTCAATTTCACATGAACAAAGGCTGGTAAGATACTAGTAAAAGGAAAATAAACCCTATTATGTTGAAAATGGAACAATCTGAATGAATGATAGCCTGGGCTATAATTATCCGCCCCCTCAAGGCTAACTTAAGAGCGGCATGGGAATTTTTTTTGGTGGGAGGGGGGGTCAGCCAGGTGCGGAAACCCATCACCATGCTTAAGAGCATCTAAACCAAACTGGGAATTCCATGCATCTCACCTACATATGGAAACCTGAGAGATAGATTGTTGGAATGGAATGAATACCCTCTCCCTGGAGGGACACATCCTGCTCACCAAATTCTGGAAAGTATTAGGCGCAGGTTGGTAAGAGCCAAGGCTTGGGGACCCAAGAGTGTGTGTTGGGGTACTGCTGGATCTAACCAGCTAAAACCACATAGCTTGACATTGATATCACTATCTGGCAAGTTTCCCACTGCTTGCCCAGCTAAGAAAACTGCCATTAGGGCTTTGGCTAGCATGGAAATAGTTCTCCTGTTTCCCCTCTGAATTGAGTAATGGATCCCTAAATGAAAAGAATTTCCGCTAATTAAGCAACAATAGTAAAAGCACTAGAACCTGATATGTCCGTTTAATACTGTAGTCCCTCTGATTAAACTGTGACATTCTAATGCCGGTTTAGGTCATGCTAATATTCAGAGTTCTTATTATATGTAGCCAATTTACTCATGAAAGAGTTAGGTATTTCAGCCAATTTCACAGTTATCAGCATAATACTGCATTCTTTGTTCTGTTCAGTTAACATTAGAAAAGTTACAATACATGGTAACTATTATTTTTGTCACTTTAACAATGCAGAATTAAGGGGACAGGAGGCAGAAAAAAGGGACTAAACTAATTTTTCACGTTCCATTTCACCTAATCTTTAAAAATGAGTTCAGGGTACATACAGACACTACACAGTATATTTTTAGTAACACGTTGAAGTCTCTCATGAAAGAATTATACAGGCTACTTTGCAAAAATTTACATCAAAATGAGAAAAGGCCAGAGCTCTTCTGATGGTAAAGCAACGGCCCAGTGTGAAGCTCAGCCAATGAGGACCTAGCAAGTGCCTGCGAGATCGCTTCTCTGTGATGGGTCAGTAAAAAAAAAAGCTGCTGTCAGCCAAGCAGAAACAAGGACACTACAATTGCTATCAGTTTCCTTGGCCTAGATAAGGAAAAATCAGTCACGATTCCTTCTTCCTTTCACTATTCCATTTGAATATCTGGTGCAAGGTACATATGTATGGACTTTGGAGAGAACAGGATCATATGCCTTTGATTCCTCCCAGTGGTTATGTACCTACACGACAGTCGGTGTTCAGACTCACCATATGAAGATTGGTTAGTTGGGTCAGGTACTGGCTTACAAGCCTCACAGCTAGAATTAAATTTTTGTAGTCTGTATTTTCTAGCATGTGTAAGCGAGCACAACACTGGGCTAGCTCTCATTGTTATTTCCATGCATAAGTCAGTAGCTTTGTTTTGCTGAAGAGTAGGGAATCAAAACTCTCTTCTAGTGCATCACAGAGACAAACAAACCCCCAGGAGACTCATCACTTTTATGCTGGAAACTTAAAACAATTATATTTGAAGAGACCCTATAGACCTCACCGAATGAAGCAATGGGAAGCTCTACAATGTTGCTGCAGTATTAATTTCTGCGTACATATCCAGATGAGTAGAGCTTCCACAGTGCAGTTGTTTCAGTGCTGATGCTATGAATTCTGGACCAGCTTTTGTAAAGCATTATAAAATATTAATCATTGCATTTGATATAGTGCCTTATCACGTTGTTGAGATATCCCAAAGCGCTTCACAGAATATACGGTAAAGTTAATTGACTGTATTTTGTGGGCAAAATGCAACAGCCAATTGCGCGCAGTAGTGTCCCACAAACAGTCGTGTTGTAAAACTACGACATATAGAATGTCATAATTTTACAATACGGTATTGTAAAGTACAGTTTGCAAGACCAGCCAAAGGTATGTGCATGTTAAGCAGTGGCTTGTTAGATTCTTCTCCACTGATTTTTGCCCCTTCTATCAATTTTGCTTTGTTAAGAAAAAATACATCTTTTAGTCCATGTAATTTTTATTTAAGAGGTCTTTAAATGATGAGGAGTTTTGATAGAGTTGATAGGGAGAAATAATTTTTAATGGTTGGTGAGTCAGTGACTAGATTACATTATCAATTTAAGATAGTTAGTAATGGAGGAAAGGGGGAGATTAGAAGAAAATTATTTATATCTGTATCGCCTCAGTCCTTGCCAGGCTCTACTAGCTCCCTATCACAGAACAGATTGATTCAAGATCCTCACACTCGGCTACAAATCCGTTCATGTCCTGGCACCTCACTACCTCTCTGACCTGTTTACTCTCCACTCCACCTCCGCTTAGCTGACTCTGGCCTCCTGCTTGTCCCTCAGGCCCTCAGCTTCACCATTGACAGCCTGCTTTCAGCCACTAAACTCCAAAATTTTGGAGCTCAATCCCTCCGTCTGCCTTCTCCTTCCCCATTTTCAGATCCCAACTGGAAATCTTCCTCTTTAGCCAGTCTTATGGTAACCACCCTCGGCTCGGCATCAGGCTCTGCTTGGCTTAAACGCTCCAAGACGGTACCCTGCATGAAGAGCACTATGTAAATGCAAATTGTTGTTAGGTTGTAGAATGCTCTTCCGAATGTGGTGGGTAAGGAGGACCATAGTAGCTTTGAAGGTGGAATTAGATTGATGTCCTAAAATGAATCATTTGCAGGGTTATAGAGAAAAGACATGCAAATGGGACTCAAAGGATTAGTCTTTTAAACGGCCAACGCAAACCCAATGGGCTGAATGGCCTTCTTCTGTGCTGTAAATTTCTATAGTTCAATTCATAAAGTATCCTAGGAAATGAGTGCATGTGTTTGATGAAAGTCACTATGTTAACTGTTTTTAATATTTTTTTAGGTGATAGTGGATAATCTGAAGATAGAAAATCATACAGACTGTCATTGTAGCACCTGCTACTACCATAAATCTTAAGAATGCAAAGAGTCGGCAATAGCACTATGTTGAAGAAAGAGAGATGATAGACGTCATAAATATTCAGCATTGCTTCATAGTTGCAGTTTCCCCATTTAACTGTATGCTTGTAAACAATGTACTTTTAGTGGGATTAGAAAGAGCTGCCGCACATGAATAAATTGATGGAACAGCTTGATGGCATGAATTGCGTACTCCTGTTCCTATGTTCCTAGCTGGAATCTGTAGCAAATAAAGTGATGACTGATCATTAATATTCAATAGTGCAAATTTTTCTGAGATTTTCAGTAACAAGGCATTGTACACATAATTCTCGGTGTGTTGAGCTCAGGGGATTTTCACAGGCGTAACACTGGCCTGATGTGTGTAATCTCTTCTGCTCTTCCTCGTGCCGCAATCAGTGAAACCCATCCTATCGGCTCCTACCCCAGCTCAGGTGTCAAGCCAGGACTGTCAAGCGCCTCCCAGTGTGAAAGGCACTATATAAATGTAAATTTGTAATATATTTTTAAATGTCACTTTAAAATCTTCCTCTTCGACTATACCTATGGCCGTCTCCCCTGCCCGCTTTTCCCTTGCCCTGCCACTATGAAACTCTCCAAGGCATCAACCTACATGAAGGGTTCTATGTAAATGCAAGCTGTTATTATTGTTTCTAAAGTTTAAGCTCTTAGCTTGCTTTTAATTTAACTATGTGATCTCCTTATGGTTTTGCTTATCAAAAAAACAGTAAAGGGCAAACAGCACACAATCCTACGCATAAGTTGAATGAGTAGGAAAGAGGCACAGATCAATCAAGCAGTTGTGAATAAGTCAAGTGAAGCTTGGGTATGAAAAGCTGATTGACTGTGGGAGAAGGGAAAGCTGAAGGAGGTGGGAAGTTCAAGAGTTTTGAGTTCTTGAAAAATAATAAGTTGGAGTAGTTGCCATTACTTATGATTTAAACAAAGTAAGAATGTAGGGAACGCAGGAACATACAATACTGCACGTGGCAGAAGGCCTGCCTGCCAATGGTGGGAGACGTGAAGCAGGCTGGAGCCCCTGAGCGGAGGGAGCGGGCAGGATGGTAGGGGTTAGGTGGTCGCAGAGAGAGGGGGGAGCAAAGCCATTGGGAGCCAGTGGAGTCGGGTGAGGATGGGGGTGATAGGGTCACAGAGTCCTGGTGCGGGAGAGGACACGGGCTGCAGAGTTCTGGATGATCATCAACCTATGGAGGAAGGAGTTGGGAAGGCCAACAAGCAAGGAGTTCGCCTAGTCAAGCCTCAATGTTATGAATGCGTGTATGAGGGTTTCGGCGGCCCGCAGTGTGAGAGTGGCGGAGCCGGGTGATGTTACGGAGGTGGGGGAAGGCAGAGCGGGTCATGGCATGGATGTGGGGTAGAAAGGATAGTTGAGGGTCAAACAAGACCCCAAGGTTCCAGACTGGTTTAGTAAGGTGGAGTGTGCAACCACGGATGGTGATGCTGTCAGCGCCTGAGGTGTGGAGACGCTGACGGGAGCCAATCAGGAGAGCCTCGGTCTTGTTGACATTCAAGTTGGCTCTCATCCAGGACTTGATGTCTGACAGACATTCTGTCAGGACAGCAGTGGTCCTGGAGTCAAGGATGGAGGCGGAGAGATATAGTTGGGTGTCATCCGCATACATGTGGAAGTTGACCCCTTGTCTGCGGATGATATCACTAAGAGGAAGCATATAGCTAGTCTGTGCCAGGGGCCAGAAAAAATGTCACAAATTGGGACCAATTGTCCAAAGTGCATTTGGGCATGACAGATAGTTAATAGTCTTTGAGGGGAAAATAAATCTGTGACACAGGAAAGGATTCCAAGCTTTTTGGAAGAAGCTTCAGTGAAAGAGGAAATGTGGAAGATGAGGCTGGTTTGAAAAACAAAGCATTACTTTATTTAAATCTCAGAAACAAAATTCAGAGGTTAGGATAATTTTATGTTGATCAAATTAATACCCAGTATAAATTGCCAATAATGGATCACTTTTAATTATTTTTCTCTTGTTACAATCCCACTCCTTTCCTCTCTCGTCCCCAGCACTTCCACCTCAAAATTAAAAGTAGTTCCTGGAACACAAACATATTTACATTGGAGGAGTGGCAGGTGATCACATGCTGATATCAGATGCAGTGGGATCTTTCATACAGACCTTAGCATTAGCGACATGCACCCACACTCAGATCAAACGTTTAAGTGTTCTGAGACATTACCCCGCCTGAAGGGCACTATATATAAATGCAAATTGTTGTTAATGTTGTCACACTAAAGTTTACATTCGAGGCACTTTCAGACCTCTGGTATGAAACAATAGGGTTGATTTGTATTTTTTGTCAGTTGCATAACGTAATGTGTGTGCAAACCTTTGAATACAAATTTGTACAAGATGTGAATTTCTGTTTCTTAAAATGTCCTTATTATCTTGCTTTTTTAAAATGCTTTTCTCTGGTATCCTTCCCTCCGATCTTCTCCTGAAGGCATCTGTCTCATTCTGGATTATGGCGCCATTTCGTCCACAAAATATGCAGTTAATTCACTTTACATTATATTCTGTGAAGCGATTTTAGATGTCTCGAAGATGTGATCAAGCGCTATATGAAATGCAAGGATTATTACTATTATTAATAGTGGAACCAGATTCCTTTGGTAACTCTGCCTAAGTGACAATTTAACATGTATGAGCCATGATGGTACATTTTGGTGAGATATTTAACTAGGGGCATGTTACAGCTGAAGGCTATTCTGTTCTCAACCAACAACTGGAAATGCACTTTCTAGCAGGAGAGTGATCAGGCCTGGGAGCCCTAGATGATTATGCTCCCCCTAAGATCAGATGGTGTTGAAGTAAGTTATAGTTCCAGCTGAGATAACGATAAAATGATCATCCTTGCATTTGATATTGTGCATATCACATCAAGAAAACGTCTCAAAGCACATCAGAAGATTTATGACCACAACTATTTTACATTTATGTAGCACGTTTCATGACAGGAAGACATGAAACTACTGTATTTTGCATTACTGTAAAGTGTAGTGACTGTATTTTATGGGAAAAAGTGGCAGCCAATTTGAGCATAGCAATATAATAATAATAATGGAGATGTGATATGTGATGTGATATGCATATCCCATAAACAGCCATGAAATGAATGACCAATTTTATCTGGGAGAAACGATGGGGGAAAACCTCTTTCCGAATAGTGTCATGGTATCTATAATGTCCACCTGAACAGGCAGTTTAACTGGTTGACTAGCTTCCTGCAAACCATCAAAAACAATACTTTAGTTTATTTCTGCCAGTGTGAAAATAAAACCCACATAACCGCAGTCTCTTTAATACATAATATTGGGAAATTGCACAAGTATTTATTTTACCAGATATTTATCAAATATTATCATATTAAAGATTTGCCTCTGATCTGCAAGTAGACAAAGACAAAATAATTTAATGGTACTTTGAGCAACACATTGAGACATTCAGTGGTTGGAGGGCATTTTTAAGGCAGATAACAAATACTTGACTGTTCGGTTGCTAAGAGTGTTTCCTGCACCTTATAAGCTTTTGAAAGGCTAGTTTGAAATCTTCATTGAAACTGGTGTAGAGCAAGGGGTTGATTAATGAGTTGATGTAGCCAAGCCATGTGAGGAGGTCAGCAGCAAGCGGAGACACAGTGCACAAGCGAAGCCCCTCAAAGAGCTCCTTGATGAAGAAGGGCAGCCAGCAGATGATGAAGGCTCCGAGGATGAGGCCGAGGATTCGGGCTGCCTTCCTTTCCCGACAGGTGGAGATCTGTTGTCGGTCGCAAGGGTTCACCATGTCGCTCTCAAATGGAGGCATCCTCAACGTGACGTTGATCTTGTCGAACTCCAAGGCGGGGTCGGAGGTGGAGAAGTCTGAGCCGCAGAAGGTGTGGGTCAGCCTGCAGCTCATGTAGGAGATCTGACTCTGGCCGCTCTGGCTGCTAAAGTGCCGGCTGGAGCCCCGCTTCTGATACAGGTGCTTGGCCGCATTGTAGATGCGGTAATAGAGCAGGAGAATGAGGGCCATGGGGATGTAGAAGGCCCCCAGTGTGGAGTAAATGGTGTAGATGATGTGGTCGTGCGTGATTAGGCACTTCTCGCTGGTGCTGTTGGCATCGTATCTCCTCCAGAAGAGAGGTGGCATGGAGATGAGTGTGGAGATGGCCCAGACGCTCAGTATCATGACACAGGCACGTCGCGCTGTTCTCTTTCGGGCATATTCCACGGCGTCTGTAATGGCCCAGTAGCGGTCCAGGGCGATGACACACAAGTGGAGGATGGAGCAGGTGCAGCAGGTCATATCCAGACTTAGCCAAGCCTCACACACAATGTACCCGAGGAGCCAGACGTCAGTCGCCATGTACATAATACTGACCGGCATGACCAGCACAGCCACCAGCAGGTCAGTCAGGGCCAAGGAACAGATCAGATAGTTGGCCGGTTGGTGGAGTTTCTTGGTCAGACAGATGGCGGAAATCACCGCAGTGTTCAGCAGCGTGGTGAGCAATGTGATGAGTGACAGTGACAAAGACACCGCCAGCCTTTCAGTGAACGTCTTTGTTTGCCCGGCGCAGGAGTCAAACGAACAATTGGTGAAGTTCATTGTTTTTCAGCCCCACGCACCACCCCACCCTTCACCCCAAAATCTGCCCAAAAAACAGTTACAATTTCCAAACCATCTTGTTGATGATTCACAGACGTAGGAGGCCTGAAAGGTGTACCACGCAGGAGGTGGTCACACCTTCAATGTAGAGCCAAAGAATGTAAATTCCAGGTCTTCATCATCAAAGACAATGAGTTGTATGGAGACCAGTCAATGGGCTTTCTTTCCTGCAGGGAAACCAAATTCAATTAGTGGCAAAATCCTTTATTTCCTGAACTCTTCATTATTGTTTCAATGCCTAAAGGCAACAGAGACCTTTTCTTGAGCACAAAGAATTTTCACTCATCCAATCCTAAATGCTTATTTGTTCTGAAAGCTCCTGCCGGTTTTATTTTTAATGAAAAACTGGCTTATTAAAAATAATAATGATCGTTGTGCAATGTCATGATAATAATTATTGCATTGATCTTGTACTTACAATGTCAAAATGTCTCAAAGAGCTTCACAGTAATTACTGTCAAATGTAGCGACTGTATTTTTAGATAAACAGGGCAGGCATTTTGCACAATCTTTAATGTCTACCGGAACAACAGACAAGAATTCCAGGCAGCTATTTGAAAAGAGAAGAGTTTCTCCCGGTGTCCTGGCCAATAATCCCCCAATATTGGTCGTTCACACCATGGCTGTTTGTGGGACACTGCAAATTGGTTGCCACGTTCGTCTATGAAATACACAGTCACTACATTTCACAGTAAATCCTCCTGATGTGATCCTCCTTAGATATCAAATATAAGAATTATTATCATTATTATAAGGATGTCATGTCCAGTAATGCAGTGCTCTCCCAAATGTTTTACACATGGTTGTTAATGGAACCAGAAAATTTCTCCAAACTGTAGGTTTCATTTTATAATGAGAATCCAATACAAATTTACATTTTATAGTGTCTTTCATGTTGGGAGGACTGCCCTATGAGATTGAAAGGACAAGCTGACTGAGTGCTGAGAGGATTCTCATTGATAACAGTTTTGTTTAAGTACCATTTCAACATACATTGGAGTCTCATTGTAACAGGATGTTTGGGATCCATAAAATCCCAAAGCTACTAGAGCTGCTGTCACATCTGTGGAGCCAGCTGGCTTACTCCCAGTTACTCCTGTGAAGTGTTTCGAAACATCTGATTGTTGTGATATGGCGCTATATCAAATGCAAAAATGATTGTTATATTATTATGGAGTCACGTAGCTCAGTGGTTAGAGCACTCACCTCACAAGCGAGAGGACATGGGTTCAATTGCCGAGCAGTGTGAAACGTTAGGCAAATTTCCTTACTTTACACACCTCTGTTCACATCACACAGCTTCAAAGAAGCAGGTAATAATGGGACCAAACTGTATACTGTACTTATGTAATTTCACCACTAGATGTCACAAGTACAACATGAGCAAAACAGGAGAGCTGACTGCAGCACGGTACAGTTTAAGCAGGACCTCTTGTTATTGATAGTAAATGATTTAGCTATATTAAGAACACCATCCATTTATACAGCGTCCTTCACTCGGGGTAATGTCTCGGAGCGCCTTTCACAATTTCACACAATTCATCAGAATAAATAGTTGGTGGTGAGGGGATGTGGTGCACTGTAAATAAATCAGGTTTTTACTGTTCTTTAAAGTGAACAAAGGCTGCTACAGTATGTGATGTTTTCATTGTCTTGCTCTGCATTCAGTAACAGCACCAAACAGTAACTAGACCAGACATAAGCTTGTTTTCGTCTCTCTGTCTCACCCCCATTTCACATTATAGATTCTTAACCACCTCACACGATCTCTCCTCACACAAAAGAGTATTCTTTTATCTCCTTCCCCAAATAAAGGTGCGACTGCATGTACTTCCCCAAGAAAAAACTTCCTCCACACAGCCACATAATGCAATTTCCTATTTTAAACATAAGATCTCTGTGTTTAGCAATTTGTGCATGATAGAACCACCACTGCACATACTCTCAGATTCACAAACACAAATAAAAGAGCAGCTCTAAACCCACATAAACACACTAGTGCCCAGCCCAAACCCAACTCTCAAACCTTGTCTCTTCCCCACCCAATTGGTGATGAAATCCCAATGGGGAAGATACAGTCATTGTATCTGTGGGAGTTGCAGGCTACAACTCTACCCACTACACTTTCCCTGAAGTTATGGGTTCTACATGTATTCTCTGGACTAATGGACGCTCAGAAAGCAAAGAGTGGAGCCAGTGAATGAACAGATAAGAATGTAAACTGTTGGTTTAAATATGAGATTGGACATTGATCAGCAACAAAGCAATCAATATAACTTAGTATTTAATACAAACACTGGAGACCCAACATTCTACCTAGTCTTAGCCTGTGAGTCAAATGGGGAAAATTCAGCCTTTATTTGGAAGTAGCATCTCAGAGCGTTTAACAGTGGCGGAGCCTGACTCCAAGCCGGGGGTGGAGGGGGGAGGTGACCGTAAGCATGGTTGTAAAGGAAGGTTTTCAGGTGGGACTTGCAAAAGGGGAAAAAAGAGGCAAGGCAGAGAGTTTGAGGGAGAGTGTTCCACAGTTTTGGGGTGTAGTGGCTGAAAGCGCAACATCCAATGGTGGAGTGGAGGGTGCGAGGGATAAGCAGGAGACCAATGCCAGTTGAGCCAAGGCGCCGGGTGGTGGATTGGGGAGTGAGGAGGTCGGAGAGGTAGGGAGGTGTCAGGGAGTGAAGGGATTTGAACAACAACAATAAAAAAATTACATTTGTATAGCACCTTTCACGTCAGGAGGACGTCCCAAGGTGCTGGAACACTGGTTCAGTGAGTCTGAGAGAGCGATCAGAGAGGTTGAGGAATTCGGATCCACAGGAGCGAAGATGTTGACGGGAGCCAAGGAGTATGGCTTCCTTTGCCTCTGTAATGTATTCTTTGTAATGTAATGTATTCTTCTGTAATGTAATGTATTCTTCTGTAAAGTAATGTATTCTTTGCCTCCTGCATGTTCCTCGTCCTCTCTGCTCCAACCATCGGCGGCCGTGGCTTTCAGCCACTACACCCTGAACTATGGAACTCTTTCTCAATTTCCCTGCCTTGCCTCCTCCTCCCTGTCTTCTGGTCACACTTGAAGATCTTCCTCTTCAACCGAGCCAACTATCACCTCCCCTCTCACCGGCTCAATGTCGTGTCTCTGCCACTGTTAAGTGCACTGAGGTGCCATCCCATGTGAAGGGATGAGCCAAGAATGTTGGACTCATTTAAGAGATGGTTTGATGCTGTGATGGGTGGTGGGATAATACAGTATGGAGTAAGTGCTGGTTGTCTTTCAGTCCCCTGCCTCCAAGTGGCCATTGCTCATGTGTGAGGTTGGTACTGAGTGTTGGCACTTGAGTGTACAGGGCATTCATAGTGAAGCCTGGTCATTTCCAACCAGCTACCACACATGCCCACAACCACTAGAGGGTGCTCTAGAGGGACTAGGAGCAGGAATTCTCCTCCCTGACTCTGGGAAGGCTGGGGTCCATTTAGCTTTCCCATGCAGCACTGGCTGAGAGCAGCAAACTCAGCATGGATGAGGAATAGAACCAGGAACTCCTGGTCTGTAAGATGTAGTTCTAACCATTGCAACATCGAGGCTGCTACTAAAGTTTGTGCTTTCCTGGACTGAGGAGGGGAAATCCATTGAGTGCAGATGCTCCAGATCAGTATAAAGTGAATCCTAATAGCTGTGATGCCTCCTCAGTCAAAAGCTTGTTGATATTCAGCAAAGAATGATGACTTGAGTCAGATAGCAAAGGGATGCTGTAACTACTGGATCTACCCATCATATGCTATTTCCCTATAAAGAGGAGAGGAGGGGAGAAAATTGGTCCAAAGACATCAAACTTCTCAATGTGCATCATGGATAATTGAAGAGTTGTAGGCAAACAGGACACCCAGGTCAGAATAAGCCAGTCACTGATGTGAATTCTATTTCCCCTATGGTGCGCCTCATAAGAGGTGTTGCAGCACAAAAACCTTATCATCTTTGTTAGGGCTCTGAATCACACTTAGTCACAGGTGATGGGCATATGTTTTATGATCCAGTTTGTAATAAATCTATTCTGCACTGAGTGATTTTAAATCTGAATGTGCTAAAGCTTTTCACTGGCTTCCTGAAAAAGGGAGCCATTTCCTGTACTTGAACTGCCTGAAAAGTACACTCTGTGGGTAAACAGAAACTCCAACATTAATGGCTGCTACTAACAGGCTACTAGATCTCTATGGTTTATGGCTTTTTATTTTTATCAGCTGCTCTCCAGGGACTGAACACAAAGAGTCCAACAATCATACTCTTATTTACCTGCAGTGTTTTGGTTAGAGCACTCGCCTCGCAAGTGGGAGAACTCGAGTTCGCTTCCAAATAATAATTTGGTCACTCAATCCATGACTGTTTGGCTGCTGCGTTTCGCCCACAAAATATACAGTCAATTTACTTTACAGTATATTCTGTGAAGTGCTTTGAGACCTCACAAAGACATGATAAGGTACTATATAAAATGCAAGAATTATTATTATTATTATTTAGGATATCAATGAATATATTTTAAAACCTGACAATTCACCGATGAATTGTAATTTACTGTAAAGTCACTCCACTTTACAGTAAATCCTGTGAGGCACCCTGGGACATCCTCCTGACGTGAAAGGCATTATGACAAATGCAAGTATTGTTATGATTATTAATAGTAATTCAGGCAATATTTTCACAAAACTTTGTGGAGCACAAGTTTCACATGCTGCATTTATGAGAAAATGTTTCTCAGCCCCATTCAATGATAACCATCACACATAATTCAAGGAAAAAAGCTTTTCTTGATTTATCAATACATATACCATCTTTTGCCAGCAATTGCTATTATATTCCCCATTATCAATGCACATAGACAAAGGCCATTGAATACACTGAGCAGCAAAGAACAGCTGCTCACTGCCAAAGGTCAGTGAAGTTACAG